ATTTTATTTATTTATTTTTTCCCCCCAAAGGCCCAGTAGATAGTTGTGTGTCATAGCTGCACATCCTTCTAGTTGCTGTATGTGGGACGCGGCCTCAGCATGGCCGGACAAGCGGTGCGTCGGTGCATGCCTGGGATCCGAACCCGGGCCGCCAGCAGCAGAGTGTGCGCACTTAACCACTAAGCCACGGGGCCGGCCCAGGGCTCTGATTTTTAAATGTTTTGTTTACTACCAAATACACAGCACCCAAAAACAATGCAAGGCACACAGTAGGTGCTCAATAAACAATTGCATGAATGAATGAATGAGTAAATGAATGGACCCTGTACCCAGCTCCTAGTAAGTATTCAATAAATGCCAGCTATTATTATTTCTCCCATAGTAAATCTTATATTTTTTCTGTGCTTGCAACTTCCCTCTGGCTTCTTATTTACCCAGGATAAAAATCTCATACTTATCCTAGTCTTTGTCCTCGCCACTGCACCATCCTCTATCATTGTCAGATCTTATCTCGCAGCACAGATACAACTCTCTCTCCTACCCATCACCACTGCCAACCTGGGTGTGGGCTCTCCACTACCTCTCATCTGGATAATGACAGTAATCTCACCCACTCTCACTGCCCTCCAGTCCATTCTCCACTATGTACTCAGGAAGGTGAGGCACTCTGGTGCAAAAGTTCAAGAGGCATTGAGAGGATTAAGAGTACTTACACCCAGGTGTTTCATCTGCCTCGCTGTAGTCTTGACCATGATCCACGTAGTATGGATATGGATCAACTGTCTACTCAAAACCTTTCACGTGCTCACCTCTGGTTAAGTGACAAGTCACAACCCAGCCTTCAATCACTCAGACCTTAACTTCCATTACTCCCTTCAAAAGTTCTAACCAAACTCAACTATTCACAGTACCTTTTACAGGCCCTGGCCTTTCCATCCTCAGGTTTTTGCTTAAATTATTGCCATTTCCTCTTCCCAATCTCCAAAGACCCAAACTGTCCCCATCCTTCATGGCCCAGCTCAACTGCAGTTGTAGTCATGAAGTTTTCCTGATTCCCCACAGACAAAAGGGTATCACCTCCTCCACATCTCCCACGGGACTAACGATGTGTCACAGGTTTCCCTAAGCTTTCCCATTTCAGCAGCTTCAGGGACCATGCCTGCTTCATCTGCATCCAGCTGAGTGAATGAATACACCAACGAAACTGTGGTGGCCAGAGCCTCTATTTTGCCTTCTGTTTCCAAATCTTGTCAGGTACTTCATCTACATGCTAGTTTTCTACCAGAGGGTGAGGTTAAGTGTACAGCCCCATAATCATTTTTGCAAATGCCATTTGAGTCAAGCCAGGCTTTGCAGTCTAAGGGCAAGGAATGGTGTGGGAGAGCACAGACGGGCCAGGGAACAGCCTCTGGTTGTAGTTACTCCTGCAGCAGCTTCTGAGAGCAAAGCCATTCCTGACTCCATCCGCTCCTAAACCCCCCCAAAGGGGGCCAAGTGCTCTAATTGCAGTTTAGGACCAGTCAGAAGACACACTAGCTGGATTCTAAGTCAGAGGAAGTCTCTGGCACACCCTAGCTAGTGGGGAACTCCTGCCGGAGGTCCAAAGGCCGGGTCGGCTGTTGGTCTCCCTCAAGGCCACCAGAGGGCAGTGCAACCTCCAACTGCAGGCGATTTCCGGGCAGGATTTCAGTCCTGCTCAGGAGGTTGGGAGGCCTGGGTCCAGGTCCTCAGAGGCACCCTGGGCTTTTAGGGCAGTGATTCTAACTAGGGAGCACATCAGAAACACCTGGGGAGTCTCCACCCTAGAACATCTGGTTTAGGCAGCTGGAGTAGGGCCCAGGGCCTGTGCATTCTGAAGAAGTTCCTCATGGAATTCCAGCATGCACACAACTGAGAACCAACGCTCCAGGCCCAAATCTGGGAGTGGCTGAGCCTTGCCACACTCCCCAGCATTCTCCCTCAGCCATCAGCTCAGGGCAGCCTCCATCTGTGGAGGCAGCACCGGTGGCTCAGAGGAGTGAAAACTGAGGTTGGGAGGGCAGCACAAGGATGAGGGTGAGGAAAGGTAAAGAAAGTCTAGAAACTGATGCAACCGGAGGCAGCACCGGGCAGTGGGAGCACGACTGGGCCCGGCTCAAGGAAAGAGGCCTGGCCCCAAGTCCTGGCTTGGCCATGCCCACTAGTTGTTTGATTTGGGGCTCATCGTTTACCCTTCTCTGGACCTCCGTTTCCTCATCTGGAAATGATGTTCAGAATACTTCAAAGCCCTAGTTATCTGGTAGATAATTACAAGCCATAATATGTATAAAAGTAAAAGTGTAAGGTGCTATACAGATGCAAAGAATCATTATAAAGAAACTGAGTGGATTTCCGCTGACTGGAAACTCAGCCAGGCCTGCTCCACTGGAGTAATCAAGCATAGACCAAAGAACCTGCGACACCAACACAGATGGCGGATGAAACCACAGAGGGGAGCCTGAGCCCACGGGTCCCTTCCAGCACTTAGGGCTCCTAAATGTTACTGGTTACAGCAAAGCTCAGATTTGGGGCAGAGGAGGCTGGGCCAGATGCATACCTGTCTCCCCTCTTCCCACGAAGCGGCTGCACCGGTTGCCATCTGTCTGCAGTTCGTCATGGTCCCCCTGCAGGTAAACTTGCGCGGGCAGTTCGTGGCCCAACACCTCCAGCTCTTTGTAGAAATGACAGTTGGAGCAGTTTTGGAGGAAGCCAAACACCAGCAAGTTTGTGATGTGCTCATCCTGGAGGCCTGAACCATTGCTGACCTAAGATGAAAGGGGAGTGAGGGAGACCTGTGGGAACCTGGTCCAGGGCCAGAGGCCCTTACTGCGGCTGAGCTGGCACAGGGCTCCAGGTACAGCTGGGCCTGAAACAGCCTCACTAGCCCAAGAGATCTGAAGAAGCCTGTGGGCACAAGGCCTCCTGCAAGTGGGAGAGGCCAAGTGTGCAGTGCCTGCTTTAAGCAATGCCACCTGTAGATGCCAACAAGAAAGCTCCAAACTCGCACAAGGTGGCTCATCCACCATTTGCTTGACATCCTGACAAAACTCAGCTGGAGCGAGCTTCCTTTCAGGGCAGGACACTCCAAAGGATGTGTTAGGGAAGCCAAGCAAATATCATCATCTAGATGCCATCCTTGTATCCACATGCTTTTGCCAAGTCCCATGTATCTTTTACTAACTTACGTCCCCCTTTACTGGCTATGCATCCAGCACTTAGAAGCTCTTTCTTTTCAAAAATCTCCTTTGTAGGACCAGGATAGCATTGTGCAAACAGCCAATCTTCAACAAATACTGAGCAGTAGTAACCACAGATAACATCTGCCTTTGGGCAGGCTGGGTTTACTTCAGGTGAGTATGCCTCTTAACCAAAACCCAGAGAGCCATGGGGATGCTCCTGCTCCAACCCAAGGGGCTGGGGATCTCAGGCCCGTCAGCTCTCCAGCCTGGAAGCAGCACTTGCAGCAGTAGCCCAGTTCAGCATCTGCTCTATGGAAGCCAGGAGGCACATTTCTGGTGTGCAGACTGCATTTGGGACAGGATTCCTGGCAAACAAAGGTGAGTACCTGTAGCATCCGCAGCCAGGTGTGCTCAGAACAATCAAAGATCTAGGATGAGAGAGGGAATAATCGGGAAAGCTGGGGAGACTGAGATCTGCCCAGATAAATGCAAAACAGGCTGGGCTCTTACAGCAGGAGAAGGTGAAGGTGCAGGTAAAATTTATTTCTATCTTCTAAGCCCTTAATATTTTTCATTAATCAGAAAACTTTTAGACGACAGTTTTTAGAGGGCAAATTGTTTTAAATAAATAAAATGCATAAAGTAAGGTGCTTATGTATTGCTATTCAGCCTTCTCCAAAATTACTCCTAAAAAAGGAAAAATGTTATGTAAAAGGTCTACTGCATCAAATCCTTACAGTGAGGCCAGGTGGCACAAGGCAGCTTAGAAACTCAAGAACGTGCTTCATTCCTGCTTCCAGGAGTGTCCTGGTTAGAACAGAAGAAAGGAGGGCTAGGGCAGTGTTGTGGGTTGAACTGTGTCCCCCAAAAAGAAATGTTCAAGTACTAACCTCAAGTATCTATGAATGTGCCCTTATTTGGAAATAGGGTCTTTGCAGATGTAATCAAGCTGAGATCAGGTCATACTGCCTGGATTAGGGCAGACTCTATATCCAATGACTGGTATCTTTATAAGAAGAAGGAAAAGAGGATTTACACATGGAGACACACAGGAACAATGCCACATGAAGACAAGGGCTGAAACTGGAGCGATGTGTTAAAAGCCAAGGATTGCTGGCAGCCACCAGGAGCGGAGAGAGGCATGGGACAGATTCTCCTTCGGAACCCCCAGAAGGAACCAAGCCTGCCGATGCCTCGATTTCAGACTCCTGGCCTCCAGAAGTGTGAGGGAAAATACCCAGTTTGTGGTATTTTGTTCCAGCAGCCCCAGAAAGCTAATGTGGGCAGTCTTTGCCCGAGGACTTCTTCTGATCCAGAGGTTGGTAAACAGGTGTCCAAAGTCTGGGTGCAGAGCACTGGTGGCCGCCAACTAAGCCAGATCAGGTTATCAAACACAAGTTCAGTGATCTCTGCCTTTTCCACGTAAAATAAAAAGAATCGGCAGGGAGGGAAAGGAAAGAATTTCATACGTTAGAGCAACACAGGTCCAGAAGCCACGAGTGGATAACCCATGAAGTCAAATGTTTAGTAGCCGTTGGCTGGAAAACAGTATGGATAGACTATTTTGATGAGCATGTCAAGAACAGGTTGGACTGTACCACAAAATGGGAAATAGGCTCAGACGACTGACAGGATTTAATTCCAAGAACAAACAGAGCTTGTGACAAGCCAAGTAGGGAACTATGAGCTTTTTTGATCCTTCTAGTGATAAAAGTTGAAATGGATGTCTCAGAAGGTGGAAGATCTGATAGTTGTGTATCCCTTTAGATCACAGGAAAGAAAATACATTAAGAGAAATGATCAAGACTTAGGAAATCTTGCTGGACATATTACAAAATTGATCTAAAGGAGGCAAAAATAATTCTCATGCTATAAAATCAGTTCCAGTGCAAAGAAAAAGATGGAAGGCTATCCAATGTGTGTGATAAATTGTAATAATCCTGGTGCACAATCCTGGAGAAAAGAGCACCAAACAAACGTTAAAAAAAAAAAATCCAAAACCAATCTCACTTCTTTTCTTTTCTTTTTTTGGTGAGGAAGATCAGCCCTGAGCTAACATCTGCCAATCCTCCTCTTTTTGCTGAGGAAGACTGGCCCTGGGCTAACATCCGTGCCCAT